GGGGGGGGGGGGGGGGATCTTAAACTTGTTGTTAAAAACATTTCTGATCATGTAACCCAAGCTTGCAATATTTTGAAACGCTGTTCATCTGACAACACCCACAGTACTTGTGTTTAACGCTGCCATTGAAACGAGTGAACAGGGTGTTGTTCTGAACCTCCAGCACACAATAAGTCATAATAAAGAGCGCTGAATCAGATACGCATGACACTGAGGGACTTCATCTTTGTCAGGTAATAGGTCAGTATCTGTTATACTGTGGGATAGATGCACAATTTGTTGTTTGACGGACAACAGCAGGCCCGCAAAAGCACTGGATAGGGTGTCAGTATAAAAGGAGAGAAGTACTGAAATCAGCAGTTGGGGGTCATTCAAAGCTTGGGAGGTGAGGAATTATCACGGGTGAGTCTTCACATATTTTATTTCCTTTTTCCTCCTCGACTGTCTAATGCATTAGAACGTCTCGTAATAGCCATTGAATAGTCAAAAACAAATTGCCTAAGTGACATGATCTTGTGATCAGATATTTCTTCTGCACTCTTGAACTGTATCAGGTTGCTATTGTACAGTCTTGAAGGACGCAAGCAGACACACAGACTTCAGCATTGAGAGACTCGTTTTCATTTATTACAGGCTTTCACAATATTTTGGACGCTTCTTTTTTTACAGCGCTGACAGAATGGCTCAGTTATTGTGGGCATTTCTTGTGCTCGCTGCAACGATTAAAGGTAAGCAATGCAATTCTTCATTAAAAGGCGATTATTTGACTCAAAGAGCTTAGAATTAACATATGTCTAATTCATTAAGAAGTCTATTCCACATTAGAAATGTCAGGATATAGCATTCAATAAAAAGTCATGATGTTAAAGGCACATTTATAATTGCACATGTAAGCAAACATAATCATAATTAAGCTAAAATAGAGTTTTAAACACAATGATATCATGGTATGTGGGTGTGGCTGGGATTGCTTAATAGAAATGGCTCATTTTAACATCATATAATCTATAAATATTCTTCTAAAATGTTGGATATATAGCCTAAATATGCAAAAAGTGTATAAGATATTTTCCTTTTTTTTTTAAATTTTTTTTTTTATTATTGACTAGATACATTGCCGCAAAGGATCATTGGGGGTCAAGAGGTCGTGCCTTACTCTGTCAAATACCAGGCGTCTCTTCAGGTTGACAGGAAGCATTACTGTGGAGGAACACTCATTCAGCCTCAGTGGGTGTTGACTGCTGCCCACTGCTGGAGACCGTACGTCCTGAAGCTCGCTTTTAAAATTACTTAGTAAGTTTTATATAAATAGAAGGAAGTTATTTAATTAGAAAATGCCCTGTATGTTGTATTGTATTTGGATGGACAGGGCCAGTGTGATTCAGGTGGTGCTGAGTGAACACAATCTTGCTGTAGAAGAGGGATTTGAGCAAGTGCTTAACGTGTCCAGAGTCTATAGTCATTTTGCCTACAATCCAAAAACTTTTAACAATGACATCTTGCTCGTTAAGGTAAGAAACACATAACAAATACTAAAAATGACTGATTCTGTGGTGCAATTTGAAGACTTTGTCTCATTGTTAAATACTGACATGATATATACGTGAAGAATCCTGCTACAGATTAGATTTTTTTTGTTTGTTTGATATTAAAATAATTTCTTCCATATCCCAGTTTAATGTGCAGTGATTGATCAATAAATATTGATCAGTTTTTGTTTTACAATGTTTATTTAAATTTGAAAGCTGAAGTATTAATTTAAATAGAAATATTTAAAAAATAGTTTTTAAAAAGTCTATTTCTTTTAACAAAAAGTATGCCTTGTCTTTATCAATTCCATATTGAAATGTGAAATGTTCCACATCAGTCAAGAATATTTTTGTATGCATTACAGAAATCACACAAGTAATCAATATTCAGTTTTACTCAAAACACAGCTGAGTTTTTCAAAACACTGCTGTTTTTGTTCGAGTGACTGACATGTCAACGTCTAGCTTAACCAATGGCATGAGCTTTTGGGTGAAAATCTCAAAATCTCTTTGTTTGCCCAATGGCAGATGGGGAGAGGCTTTGGGGAAACCTGTTTGGAAACTGCCATTATTTTCAAGATTTTGGTGTAAATTGCACACCTCACATGAAGACATATTTATTTTTTTCTCCCAGCTCAGTGTTCCAGCCCAGATTAACGCTTATGTTCAACCGGCCACACTGCCAACCATAGACACGCCTGAGTTATATGGAGGAACCAGCTGCACCGTGAGCGGATGGGGAGTGACACGAATATACAGCTTCTATCTGTCACCGATTCTGCGTGCAGTGGATGTGTCGATCATGAGCTACTGCCAATACTACTACTACTACAGAGTCAACGACAACATGGTTTGTGCGGGCTCTCGCTTCGGGGGAAAAGACGCCTGCCAGGTAATCAGAGGTTTAAATGCAAATGAGAACTTCCACAACCCTGGTGGCAGCAAATGGAATAGAGTGCAACAGGTCCTGCCCACTTTTTCAAAGTATTTTTCTTATTTAACCAAACCATCCAGCTACGAGATGAATCCCAACATTACAAACTTTAGTAAAAAATTCTATTGATATAAAACTATTGATTTAAAGTTGTCGATTATGTATATAGAAACAATGTGTTTTTTGTAGTGTTGGGTTCGAGTCCACCAAAGTCCAAGTCCAAAATGTGCCGAGTTGGACTCAAGTCCGAGTCCAAAAGGGTTGAGTCCGAGTCGAGTCCAACTAAACCAAGCTTGTTTTAACCTTTACAACTAGAAAAGGCAATGCCAATTTAAATGTAACAAAAGCAAACCTCTGTTGCATCTTTGATTTCACATAATCTCATAATTTGTGTTCTGCTCAGCAGACCTAAAGTAACAGAAGTTATGGCTGACTTGATTTATGTATTGTGACATATTTCAGAGTCAGCTGTAAGGACCTTTGAAATAACGTGAATCATTTGGCGAAGTGGTATGGACATGTGATGCAGTCAAGACATGCCTTGCACACGTTGAACGTTCATCAACCAATCAATAGGCTACTACAGAAACAGCCAATACAGACATTTAATCAGAGGTTCAATTAGGGCTGGACGATATGGCCAAAATTTATATCACGATATATTTCTTAATTTCGGTCGATACGATATAATTCCGATATCGATATGAACACTATTAAAAAAGCCTCATAAAAACGTCCAAGATATTTTAAATAGTAAAAATATTTCAAAATGTTACTGCTTTTGGTGCATTTTGGATCAAATAAATGCAGGCTTGGTGAGCAGAAGAGAATTCTTTAAGAAACATAAAAAATCTTGCAGTTCAAAAACCTTTGACTGTTAGGCTGGTTATTCTTATAGATTGAAATGTGCATTAGCCAGGATAACGAGTATGAAACATGCTCCGAGTTGCTTCAGAAAACAAAAAAATAGAGCAACAACAAAAGCATGTTGCTGGAAATGGGTTTATTATTGAAAATGTAAACTGCTTGTCTGCCAGCAGGAGGCGCTGTGAGAGCGGTGGAACTAACGGTTTCTCCAGTAATGGCTGTAAACATGAGTGGTACTTTATCAGATAAAAATACCATCTAAACTATTCTGAAGACAGTCGGTTCCCTTCAGAGATCCATTCATATAAAACACCCGCTCCGTGTTATGATTTTAAAGCGTGCAGTGCTCGTTTATTCAACGAAGTCAAACGCCACAAATAAATCAATGTATGGGAAACACTGGTAATGTATATCGAAATATCAGAAATGTGTTTAAAAATCATATCACCGTTATTGAAAAAAATTATATCGCGATACATATTGATATTGAATTATTGTCCAGCCCTAGATTCTCTGGTTCACACTGTGGTTTCAGGATTTTGAGGGGTGCATATGTTTATGCAAAGCCTACATCTTATATCAATTGGCAAACTGTAAAATAAGTTGAGAGAGTCCTCTGCTATGAACAAATGCTGATCAAAATCATTCTAGATGCTGCAGGATTTTTAAAATCAAATGTAAGACGTGTTTGAAGACGTGACCTTTTTTAAGACCTACAAAAATTTGTTTAAAAATAAAAATGAAAACCGTATGAGCAGGGTAGGGCAATGTCTTATTAAACTGTAAAATTACTGTAAAAACATGATTTACAAGAAATTATTTTTAAGAAAAGGGATGAGTCAGATGTATAAATTATATTATAGGTTGAAGTTCGCATTAGTCTGAACAAAAACTGCAGACGGGCTGATTGAAAATGCAAATTGATTATCTGCCAGCAGGAGGCGCTTTTGGAATAGCATAAATACAGTGGTTTCCCTGGAAACGGCTGCACACAAAGCAGTGCAGCACTCATAAATGCTTCTTTATCAGATAATAATGAAGATGCCATCAAAATTTTTCCGAAGACAGTCAGTTCCCTTCAGAGATGCATTCATATAAAAACTCCCGTGCTGCATCACTGCTTGAAGTAGTATAAGAAAAGTGTTTAAAAATATAGCCAATATTGTTGGAAATGTACGAGGAAAGTCCACTGATGTGTTTGTTACCAGTGCAAGCCCCGGTCCAATTTAACCCCTGTATTTAATTAAGTAATAAATGTAAAAATAAATAAAATATCCATTCTACTAAAGTGATTCAGATGAGAGCAGGGAGTGATTTTCTCTTTTTCTTTTGTTGTTTGATTAACATTAATGACACAGCAGCAGGTTTACGCTGCTGTCGCTTTAATGCCGGGTTCAGACTACACAATATTTTTGTCGGTCACGATAGTCACTGTGTCAGATTACACGATTTTGACTCCTAAAATCTTGTCGTGTCGTGGACAAGAAACATGTCAGACTACACTTTGCTTCCCGACCATTCATCGCGTGCCGTCTTTACTGACGCGTGTGATGTCATCAAGAAGGCGGAACTAGTGACTGACTTCCGAAAACAAGAGTGTAAACATTGCTGAAGCGCTTCCGCTATAGTTTGCCAGCATTTTTCTTTCTTTGTTCTGTCGTGGTAGTCCCTCGATGATGATGTATACAGGCAGGAGTACTGTTGCCACAGCTCCACGAACCTTTCCTTCATCTCATAATTCCACCTAGCAGCACCATCATCTCTCCTTCGTTTTGCCATGTTTGAAACCTGTGTATGAAAGAGCTTCTGTGCTGCTATTGGTCAACATCACCTATGTGACAGAACTCGTCGTGGACGACGGGAAAAAAATTAAACATGCTAGTCTTTCTGTCATGCTGTCATGAAGCATCGCAGACGCGGAATCGGTTGCCGTCCACTATGACACACTACACGAGCTGAAACGATGGAATCTTGCATCCCGACGCCCATTGTCGTTTACGAATCCCCACGACACCCTACGTCAAGCAAATCGGGCTAAAATCATGTAGTCTGAACCGGGCATAAGACGATGCACAGATCAAATATTTCCAGCTGTTCAGGTTCACTTAAGACATAACCGACTGCATTTACGTGAATACTCTCCAAGACAGCCATTTTGACATAGCTTAGTGTATTTGGGTGTATAGCAATAACACGCAAAAGAGAACTTAATTCGACATTAACGCGCGTTCTGTGAGAGCGCTTTGAGTGTGTGCGCACCAAGCGGCAACCTTCCGGTCTCTCTCTGAAACCAACACGGAAGTGACTAAAACTGCAATTCATCGACTGGCTGCTAGAGGCTGGCTCCAAAAGGGAGTCATTCCCATAGACTCCCCATGTTAAAATGCCCAACTTTAGAGCAGAAAAAAATGTGTTTACAGCCTGGTACTAAAAGTGGTTTTGGTCTATATAGCTAATTTTGCCCTTCATGACAACTGTGAGGGGGGGGGTGAATTTTTTTATAACTCATCCGTTTAAATGATATTAAGCCTTAAAGTTCTGCATAATTAAGGCCGTGGCCACTTGAGTGACAGGTGGATCGCCCCTGCTGTCACCGCCGTCGAGCTAGGTGGGCTTTGCCCATTTTCGATTATCCGGAAGTGACGCGCGGTAACGCACTGCCAAGATGGCGACGGCCCGCTCCGCCCACTTTGAGCTTCAAAAATGCTCTTCGGAAATCTACGGGTGACGTCACGGACACTACATCCATGTTTTTATACAGTCTATGGTGCGCACATAAACCTGGCTGCTTTTAAGTACTCGCAAGACTTAAAAACACATGCGAATACTGAATGTAACTTTTGTGATAGTGCATCCGGTCAGTGACTGTCAAATGGCCCTGAGCTGGGTTGGACTCTGAAATATTTTTCGCAAATATGCATCAGAGTCCGTGACAAGTCCAAGTCCGCTAAAAGTTGTACTCGAGCTTGTACTTGAGAGTTTTACTTCTGGAACCCAACTGTTGGAAAAAAGATCAGATTTTCTATGATTTCTATATATTTCATGATTAATTCATTGTGTTACTTGGTGTTTCTTTGTAATTGTTTGTGAAATGTACTTAATTTATTTCTATGCCATTTTTAGTGCACAAAAAGAAACTGATGTTACTTAAGAAAATAATTATTAATAATAAACAATCATTATTTTGGGAGTTTTAATTGGTGCAATAAATTCTACTTCCAAGTACTGATGCATGCACATTATCGCATCCAGAATCTTATAGATGCATATTTTGGACACTAAAAAACATTAAATACTTAAATTAACTTTATTGGATCTTTTATATCATTATTTTGGCCCACGCCTGTTTAGAGACACTTTATGAAATATACAAACTATAAGCTGGGTTGTTTAAAGTTGTTCAGAGTTTAGTTTGACCCCTCAAACACACCTGTATTTTCATGGCAGTCTGCCATTTCCCTAATTTATGGTGCCAAACAAACCCTCCCAAGGGTCCTGCCAAAGGGTTTTCTGGACATAAGGCGTTCTGGGAATAAGGGTGCGGTCCATTGATGACAATTCATGGAGACATTAGATATACTCAGATATGGCACAGCTTTTCAGGGCTTTATGTTCAGCCTCTTTATGTTAGTGTAAATCAAGGTGAGATAACTTAATTTAGTTACACAATAGGTAATATTTACAGCTTTGCAGGTAACGAGAGTGTCCAGATGGTTTCGGTATCAGTGTTTAAAAATGCTTTTAAGATTTCCCTTTGAAGAATGGAAAACAGAAAAAAATGTAATGTAAAAAATAATCTGTTTTTGTTCCATTTTTATAAGGATAATGTCATTTGTGATGGAGAAAAATGTATTAAATAAAAACATGTGAAATACATTGATCTTTCTTCTTTCACAGGGCGATTCAGGCGGTCCTCTCATTTGTGATGGGACTTTAGAAGGCATTGTGTCTTGGGGAATCGGCTGTGCTCTTCCGTACTATCCTGGAGTCTACACAAAAGTGAGAAACTACAGCCGCTGGATCGACTGGATCATCAACTCTGACAGCTGAAATATAGGTTCAACTGAATGTGGGAGGGCTTTCCTTCAATCAGAATTAAGGAAAAGGTGTACTTTGGCAATAAATCCTGCTTCAAGTACTGATGCTTTCACGTTATTGCATCCAGAGAATCGATAATTATAGATTAACATGCATATTTTGGACTCTAAAAGCATTAAATACTTTAACTTTATTGTATTTTTTATCTTATGTCCAAGCCTATTTTCACTATATATATATATATTCACACGAATGCTTGAAATTAGTTTTGAAGATAAATATAAACTGTGCCAATATGAATTTCTTTAGAAAACTCTATTCTATGTAGTTTTTCTAAATGTTGGAAAAGATAGAAAAGTCCTTCAATATGATTTAAAAAGCATCCCAGGATGCATCTGTTTGATGGAATGTCCTGGAAGAAATCTAGCTGTCAGTAAGATTGATGGAACTGTCACAGTTTAAATACATAAAGTTTACAACAAGCTCTTACCTGCCTCTTTATTATTGTCATATGAGTCTCTGAACTCTGGACTGGGTAAACAGAATGATCTTTACTCATCCGTCTGGTTACTTGCAATTTGTGCATTACCTCAATTAAATATTTTCTAGTACTCGTGAGAATAAATGTTTAGACCACATTTAGGTAAGTGAAAATGTTTTGTTCATTATGTTGACGGTGCTCTGTCTAATGATTGTCAGAACGCTGCAATGCACAATCCTGTTCGTGGAATTTCACACCTTGTCATCTATATGAATTATTAAGTAAATGGGAATTTTGACATTGCTGCACCAAATTACTCCATGCTAAGTGTCAAAGAGTCATTGCATCACTGATTTCCTCCTTAGTCACACACAGATACGCACGCACGCGCGCACACACACACACACACACACACACACACACACATTAACTTGTGACTTGAAGCCATGAAGTGCCTGGCTGTCAGAACAGAGTCTCCAGTCAGCAGTATTATGAATAGCTGGAGCACAGAAGTGCTTGTTCGGAAATCTCAAGAAGCCAAAGAACAGGCGTATTGTCCCTACAGCAAGTTCAGAGTTGGAGCAGCTGTCTTAACAAGCGATGGAACTGTTTTCACAGGTGAGGACACTCTTAAAAAATATGTCTTTGCTATTTGAAACTACAAATATATACAGTATATAACATTCAAATGTCTGGGGTTCTTGAAGTGATTTAATGTTTTTGAAAGTCTTATCCTCACCAAGGCTCTATTTATTTGATCCAGTAAAAACAGTAATAATGCAAAATATTATTCTAATTTAAAATAACTATTTTCTTTTTGAATATATGTTCAAATGGAATTTATTCCTATGATGCAAAGCTGAATTTTCAGTACCATTACTTCAGTCTTCAGTGTCACATGATCCTTAAGAAATCAATTCTAATATGCCGATTTGCTGCTCAAGAAACATTTCTCATTATTATCAATGTTGAAAACAGGTGTGTTGCTTCTTGAATGAATGGAAAGTTCAAAAGTACAGCATTTATTTGAAATAGAAATCGTTAGGCTCATAAATGTCTTGACTGTCACTTTTGATTAATTAAACGCATTCTGTCTGAATAAACGTATTCATGTCTTTTAAGAAAAATCTTACTAAACCCAGACTTTTGAATGGTAGTCTATGCATTAGTTTTGTAGCTATATTTTGTGTCTGTTTTTCATGGTTCTTCAGCATATGATGATGTTTAACAGGTTGCAATGTAGAGAATGCATGCTACTCTGCTGGATTGTGTGCTGAGAGGACTGCAATCTCTAAAGCTGTGTCTGAGGGACATAAGAGCTTCAAAGCCATCGCAATCGCCAGGTAATTCACTATATGGCTATATGTATGTATTGGCTGAAGTATAAGTAAGTAGTGTTGAGTAATGTTCCTTAACTGACTTTTGTGCAGTGACCTTGAAGATCGCTTTATTTCTCCATGTGGAGCCTGTAGGCAGTTCATGAGAGAGGTCAGTTCTTCTCAAAATAAAATCACGCAAACGGATCATTTTTTATTGTTTTGTTATTACTATAATTCACAAAAACATAGAAGTTGTGGCTTGCGAAAACAAGTCATCAGGGAAAACCAAAACACGAGTCAGCAAACTGCATGTTTGGAAATAGTTGGATTTTGTGAAACGTAAGTGTGGCTTAGAATTTAAAAAAAGAAATACAAAATAAAATTGCAAAAGAATGTGAGTAATACACATAATTTTAAGCTTCCATTGATACTGTCACTTAACAGACTGGTTATGTCATCTCATCTGTCTTACAGTTTGGCTCACAGTGGGACGTTTATATGTCAAAATCTGATGGATCTTACAAACTGATGACAGTGGAGGAGCTCCTGCCGTGTTCATTTGGCCCTGATGACCTGAGGGCAAGAGAAAACCCTTAGACTTTTGACATAAAGCCATAACAGGCAGGGATTGTAGGTGGGGGAGTGAATGTACAGCGCTCTCTCCCACCTTCAATACCACGACTGAGGTGTCCTTGAGCAAGGCACTGAACCCCCAACTGCTCCCCGGGCGCTGCAGCATAAATGGCTGCCCACTGCTCCGGGTGTGTGTTCACGGTGTGTGTGTGTGTGTGTTCACTGCTGTGTGTGTGCACTTTGGATGGGTTAAATGCAGAGCACTAATTCCTAATATGGGTCACCATACTTGGCCACATGTCACTTCACTTCCACTAAATGTATTGAATTGATGTATGGTTATATTATTTTCCAATGAAAAAATATAAATGTGTAAACTAATAAATAGTAGGCCTATTGACTTGATCTGAATTGACTTGTGGTTAAATCACGCCATATCTTAATTACCGTAATTACGAGATACCAACTTGTAAAAAGCGTTCACGTCCTCGTAGAACTCGTAATTACAACTTGTGAACTGGGAGTTTTCTGAGAGCTGCGGCTTGTACCACGTAAGAAACCACGGCTTGTAACCCGAGAAAAATGGCGGCGCTTTCAAAGAAAGCTATTACTGCTCTAAAAAAAGGAGAAAATAGATACATATACAGATGTACTATAATATAAAAACATATTATGTATCACCGTCATTAATAATAAACAACAAACAAATGGTTAGTAATTATTTTTACCTGACATGCTTTCTGTGTTCTGCAATATTTAGTAGTAGCATACAAATGTAGCGTTATGTGTTTTACAGCTGCCAGTAACTTAGGCTTAAGTTACAAGTAGACGTATTTAAATATAAATGGCTTTGCCATCAAAAGAAGTTACATTTTGAAATATATTACAATCAGAAATTTCACAATATTACTGTTTTTACTATATTTTTTAATCAAACAAATGCAGCCTTTGTGAGCATAAGAGACTTTTTTTTCAAAATCATCAAATCTGGGGAGGAGTTCAGAAACAATTCTGCTGCATTGAAAGTTCGCAGACACATGTAGCCTCAGTTATCCTTAATGGGAGAAGTTAGGAAAGGACTTTTCCTAGAGCTAGCCTCCTGGCCAAACTGAGCAATCCATGTAGAAGGGCTTTGGTTAGAGTAGTGACCAAAAAGCAGATGGTGACTCTGGTTGAGCTCCATGATCAAATAAGGAGACTCCACCGATCTGGGCTTTATGGTGGTGTGGCCAGACTCAATTCTGTCCTCAGAGAAAACACATGATAACCCACTTTGAATTAGCAAAAAACAAGATCTCAGACTGTGAGAAACAAGATTCTCTAGTCTGATAAACCTCAGTTCTGAGCATCATGAGGAAACAAGGCACTGTTCATCACCTGCACTGTACCACACCAACAGTAAAGTGTGGGGGTGCTTTTCAGCAGCAGGGACAGGGGGACTAGTCATTGTAGAAGGAAAGCTCAATATGTAAAGGTAGCCTAAATGAAAGCCTAGTCCAGAGCATTCAGAACCTCGGACTGGGCAGAAGGTTCACCTTCCAACAGGACAATGCAAGAATAGCTTATGTACAACTGTGTGAATGCCCTGGACCAGCCCGAGCCTGGGCTTGAACCCAATCAAACATTTATGGAGAAACCTGAAAATGTCTATCGGCCCTCATCCAACCTGACAGAGCTGAAGAGGTGAGGAGAAGAATGGCAGATAATTACCAACTGCAGATGTGCAAAGTTTGTGGTATCATAACCAGAAAGAATTGAGACTGTGGTGCTTAAACTAAGTACTGCGTTACTACATACTTATGCAATGTACTTATTTCAGGTGTTTTTTTTTTTAAATAGCGATGTTGTCACAAATCTGTTTTTTGTTTTATCATTATGGTGTGTGGAGTGTAGATTGATGTAAGGAAAAGGTCATTTAAAGCAGTTTAACATAAAGCAACAACATAAAACTTGAAAAAAATGAATACTTTTGCAATTCACTGTATATTCAATATAAGGTTTTTTCATGAATGCTTGAAATTAGTTTTGAAGGTACAGTGGTGGCCAAAATTATTAGAACACTAGTATTTTCACCAGCTAAAAAAAATGGTTTTAAGTCTTTGGCTGAAGAATTCTTGAAGACGAAGAATCTTTTGTTGTAGTGTGTCAGTAGGAAATATCAGTTTACATTTCCAAACATTCATTTTGCCATTAATTGTAATAATCCAGTGAGATTTTTGTTAGCACAAAGAGTCTCCAAGATGCTTCAAGAAACCTACCTGCAAATCTACATGGAAAACGCAAAATATGGTCACACCAAATGGTGATTTAATTGAGTTATTAGAAGTTAATTGATAAAGAAAATCTATTTATGACATGATTTTTGACAGCAACCTCATTTTACAGCATTTTTACTCAAGTGCCTAAAACTTTTAACAGTACTGTAGGTTTCTTGAAGCATCTTGGAGACGTTGCCACAGTTCTTCTGGATTTAGTCTGTCTCATTTCAGACAGACTGGATGATGATGGCAAAACGAATGTTTGGAAATGTAAACTGATATTTCCTACTGACACACTACAGCAAAAGATGGAAATAACTGACTTAAAACCATTTTTTAGCTGGTGAAAATACTAGTGTTCTAATAATTTGGCCACCACTGTAAATATAAACTGCCATATGAATTCTATTAAGTTTTTAAAAATGTTGAAACAGATTGAAAACTCCTGTCAGTTTATTTTTTAAATATATAAAGTTACTTGTCTATATATGGCATTCCTTCTGGAATGAATAAACAGGATGATCTTGACTCATCTGTCTGGTTACTTACAATTCTGTGAATTATCTCAATTAAATATTTTAATATATATTAAAGTGTAAGTTGAGTTTTTTTCATTATGTTGAGTGCTCTGTCTAATGATAGACAGAATCCTGAAAATTCACCTACACCTTGTCATCTAGGTCCTACATGAATTTTTAAGTAAATGGGAATTTTGACATTGCTTCACCAAATTACTCATGCTATGCGTCAAAGAAGCATTGCCTCACTAATTTCCTCTTTAAACAGTCACACACACTAAGTTGTATCATGTAGTGTCTGGCTGTAAGAACATAGTCTCCAGTCAGCAGCATTATGAGTCGCTTTAACCCAAAAGAGCTTGTTCAGAAAGCTCAGAAAGCCAAAGAACAGGCGTACTGTCCCTACAGCAAGTTCAGAGTTGGAGCAGCTGTCTTAGCAAGCGATGGAACTGTTTTCACGGTGAGGACACAACTATTTCAACTAGTTAAGTGTTCTTATACATGTGTTTTTATTTGAATCCTACAAATACAGTACATACCATTCAAAAGTTTAGTTCAGTAAGATTTAAAAAATATTTTTGAAAGAATTCTCTTATGCTCACCAATGCATTTTTGATCAAAAATACGGTAAAACGTTAATATTGTGAAATACTGTATTACCATTTAAAATAATTTTTGTGATCAAGAAACATCAGTGTTGAAAATAGTTGTGCTGCTTAATATTTTTGTGGAAACTGATACAGTCTTCAGGATTTTTTGATTAATAGAACGTTCAAGAGAACAGCATTAATTTGAAATAGAAAGCTTTTGTAACATTTTAAATGTTTTTACTGTCACTTTTGATCAACTTAATGCATCCTTGCTGAATAAAAGTATTCATTTCTTTAAAGGAAAATCTTACTGACCCCAAACTTTTGAATGGTATCAAGCACCAATAATAGGCCTACATACTGTATACCAAATAGAAACCAGACAGGCAATATGAGACATGAGTTTATATAAAAGTCTACAGTACTGTTTTCTTAACAGGTTGTAATGTAGAGAACACCAGCTATCCTCTTGGACTGTGTGCTGAAATGACTGCAATCTCTAAAGCTGTCTCTGAAGGATATATCAGCTTCAAAGCCATCGCAATCGCCAGGTATTTAAATATATAGCTATAGTTAGGTCCATATACTGTATATTTGGATGCTGACACAATTTTCATAATTTTGGCTCTGTATACCACCAGAATAAAATTAAACTGAAACAATCAAGATACAATTGAAGTGCAGACTTTAAGCTTTAATTCAAGGGGTTGAACAGAAATATAACAAAATGCTTAGTAGAACCATTTTTATACTTTATTTTATACTACCATTTGATATTTTCAGGGGGCTCAATTGTAATTGGACAAATAAATATAATCATAAATAAAAATTTTAATATTTTTTGTTGAGAATCCTTTGCAGGCAATGACTGCCTTAAGGCATGAGCTCATGGACATCACCAGAGACTGGGTTTCTTCCTTTGTGATGCTTTGCCAGACCTTAAATGCAGCTTCAGTTGATGTTTGTTTGTGGGTCTTTCTGCCTTTAGTTTGTCTTCAGCAAGTGAAATGCATCCTCAGTTGGGTTGAAATCAGGAGATCTACTTGGCCAATGCAGAATAATCCACTTTTTTACCTCTAAAAGGTTGACTTTGCTGTATGTTTTGAGTCATTGTTCATTTGTACTATGAAGCGCCACCCAATAAACTTTGCTCCAGAATCTGGGCAGAGAGTATATACCTATACACTTCAGAATTCTTCCGGCTGCTTCTGTCCTCTGTCACGTCATCAATAAACACCAGTAACCCAGTGCCACAGGAAGCCATGCACGTTCATGCCATCACACTGCTCCACATGTTTCACAGATGATGTTGTATGCGTCGGATCATGAGTTGTTCAAGCCTTCTCCATACTTTTTTCTTCCTGTCATTCTGTTGATCTTAATTTCAGCCGTCCAAAGAATGCTTTTCCAGAAGTGGTCTGGATTTTTACAGTTTTTTTTGGCAAAGTCTAATCTGGCTTTGTTTGCACCTGGTGAACCCTCTGTATTTGCTCTTGTGAAGTCTTTTCTTGATTGTAGACTTTGACAGTGACACGCCTACCTCCTGGAGAGTTTTCTTCTCTTGGCTGGATCTTGTGAAAGGGTTTTTCTTTACCATGGAGAGGATTCTCCGATCATCCACCACTGTTGTCCTCAGTGGACGGCCATGCTTTTTTATGTTGCTGAGCTCACCAGTGCATTTATTTTCTCAGAATGTACCAAACTGTTGATTTGGTCACTCCTAATGTTCCTGCTATCTATCTGATGGATTTGTTTTGATTATGAAGCCTATCAATTGTCTGTTTCACTTGTATGGAGAGATCCTTTCACTGCATGATGTGGGTTCAGAGCAACAGCTTCCAAATGCAAATGGCACACTTAAAATCAACTCCAGACCTTTTACCTGCTTAAGTGATGTAGAAATAACGAAAGAGTAGCCCACGCCTGACCATGAAACGGCTTTTCAGTCAATTGTCCAATTACTTATGGTCCCTTGAAAAAGGGGGGAGGTACATATTAAAGAGCTGTAATTCCTTAGCCTTTCCTCCAATTTTGACGAGAATACCCTCAAATTAAAGCTCAGTGTGCACTTTAAGCTCATATTCATTATATAACTGCAACTCAAATATGTTTTGGTCAGCAGCTAAAATAATAAAAAATTGTGCCTGTGTCCAAATATATGTACTGGCTGAAATTACTGTTGATTAATATTGCTGTTATGACCTGTCTTTTTTGCAGTGACCTTGAGGATTGCTTTATTTCACCATGTGGAGCCTGTAGGCAATTCATGAGAGAGGTCAGTGCTTCTAAAAATAAAATTATGCAAACAGATAATTATTACTATTTATGAAGACATACAAATGTGGAGTTAAAACGTGATCTGTAAAAAGTCGTGAGTCAGCAATGACAAACTGCATTTGGAAATGTCTTTATAAATTTAGGTGTGGCTTATAACAAAAACAATTACAAACGAATGTAAGTATCCTAAAGCACTAATCATGTTTCAGCTTCCATTGACACTGTCACTTAACAGACTGGTTATGTCATCTCATCTGTCTTACAGTTTGGCTCACAGTGGGACGTTTATATGTCAAAATCTGATGGATCTTACAAACTGATGACAGTGGAGGAGCTCCTGCCGTGTTCATTTGGCCCCGATGACCTGAGAAAAGGAAAAAACCCTGTTGGCAATTCGAAATTGTAATAAAAATAAAGCTGTGTTACAAACCAGATGTGCAGTATAGCCTAGATTTAAAATGTTTTGAATCGATGTATAGCTGTATTATTTCCCAATTAAAACATATATTTATATAATATTAATAAATATATACTGATAAACAGTGACTATACTCTGAACTGTTGTGTGGTTAATAACTGACTCACCCCTTCGAACTTTTTATTGATACCTGTGTACTTTTATTGTGAAAAACCTTTCTTATGACCTTTATTTTGAAAGCGACATTTCACAGACCAATGAGCGTTACATAAACACTGTCCTTGAGTAAATAATGTAGGGAGAAGTTGGGTCGGTAACGGGCCCTGTTGTTCTCTGTTATCGTGAAATTTAGTTCTTTACTCGGCTCAAAATGTCAGTGAAACATGCTCTCGGTCGGGGGTTGGAGCTGGGGAGGTCGCTTCTCCAGCTGGGGCTCTTCAAACCAGCCGGCCGTGTGGCAGCGAAGCTCCGCGGTGAGCGGCTGCGTGTGACCCGCTCGACCCGCACCGTCCAGCCGCAGACCGTCCTGCCCGCTCGGTTCCGCTTCTTCCGCCGGTCTCTCAGCGGGCTGGCCGCCCAGCTCCAGTCCGCGGCTTTCAGGAGAGGGGTTGGAGGTGGTGCTCCCAGAAACAGAGCTGTTTTCCTGGCTTTTGGGGTGGGTTTGGGGCTGATTGAACAGCAGCTGGAGGAGGACAGGACAAGCGCTGCTCTGTGTCAGGAGATACAGGTGAAAAACAGCAACACACAAGAACACAACAATGGCGACATTTGTATATCTAATAATATAGCATAATAATAATTGAGCATTCCTGTAGCTCAAACAGTGGCATGGTCGTGTTGATTAACAGAGAAGGCATACAAATTTATTCGCTTTGGTAATAATAAACGTCTGCCAAATGCATAAATGTAAAATAATTAAGTCATTTAAATGTATATGGCTTCGCCATCACAAGAATAAATTACATTTTAAAATGTATTAAATAGAAAACAGTTATTGTAATAATATTTTACATATTACTGTTTTTTACTGTATTTGTTTATCAAATAAATGCAGCCCTTGTTCCAAACTTTGACTAGTAATGTATATATTATTATAATTTAACGTATAATATTACACTTGTTATATTAATATAATATTATTACAATGTTGCATTCTTTACTCCTTGTTGCATAAAACACTTATTACATGTAACATTGTGATATTACGTTCACAGTAAGTCATAAATGTAATTGAAACATAATTAAGAAAACAACAGGTTATTAGTTAACCTAGTCTGATTACAAAATACTGAACAGTAACAATTTTATGTTTTACATGTCATTATCTATCGCATCAGGTTACTACTTTCTTCTAAAGTTCATTAGATCTAGTCAATTTTGCACAAGCACACATGCAAATGATATGCAGAGCGTATTATAAATATACGCACATTACAACATAGCAATTGTATCCATAATGCATTTATCATTTGTCAGAAATGCATGTTATTACATTGGAATACAACTTCTCTATTCATTTTCATTTAAATAAATTCAAGAAAAATTGTCAGTTGCAATTACATGTGTATTTACAGGCTTGTTTACATGTTTTTCCACAATGGTTTTTCGATGTAGGCCGTATTCAGAAAGAAGAAGTTCCAGACCCCTCTGAAGTCTTTTTCATTGGGGGACAAGTTGGAGGACTATGTGATTGGGAAACAGATCGGGAAAGGTTGCAATGCAGCGGTGTATGAGGCAGCGGCTCCATTCGCGGCCCCTGCGGAGAGCGGGAAGTGTTCACTGCTGGAACTCAACCAGAAAGAAACGGATGATGACAATAAGAAAGCAGGACCACTTCGATTCTCAGCTACACCCAGCTTTCCTTTAGCTATGAAAATGATGTGGAACATTGGGGTGAGAATTTAGAGTATTTTAGCATTCTATCATGGAATAAAATATATTCTTTTGGATTTTGTGTATAATGCATATACAATACAGTATTCCAGAATCCCTCAACAGCTTTTTCTAATGAACATTTGATACTGTTCAATAGGCTGGTTCGTCAAGTGACGCCATCCTTCGCTCTATGTCTATGGAGTTGGTTCCTGCATGTCCACAGGCCTTAACGGAAGAGCAAGGAGAGTTCGCTTTGGATGGGTGAGTTCATATGTAGACTTTAGCAGTACAGCATGGCCTTAAAATAGACTGAATCATTGCCAATGGCTTTGCTATTTTTACAGCCACTTTGGAAGGGTGCCTAAAAGACTGACCGCTCATCCCAACGTGATCACAGTGTACCGGGCCTTCACTGCTGAGGTCCCGCTGCTGCCTGGAGCTCAGGAGGAGTACCCCGATGCCCTGCCTGCCCGACTCAATCCACTGGGTTTGGGCAGCAATCGCACACTGTTCCTAGTCATGAAGAAGTGAGGAATCATGAAAGCACCCTGTTAAAAAAAAAAAAAAAAAAATATATATATATATATATATATATATATACACAG